AATATTCATCTTGACACAAAAAGCCCTTTCAGAAAGGTCAGTAGTATTTCACATTATAAAAATCAATATAAATTTTACATAATTATCAATTGGTTATGTTCTACTGTCTATTTCAGTTAATACCCAGCAACTTCTATTGCCTTTAGCAAAGTACAAGAATCTTGGGATGAGATTCTAGTAGAAAGTAATGTTTCCTTCTAAATCAGTGATGAACATCGAGTTAATTTTTTTCTTCATTTGTGGCTTGTTTGCTTTTCTGTTCATACAATTAGAGGCTCCAGGTTTCTTTCAGCAGTATAGGGATTAAATCTAGAACACTATAGGCATAATACCCACATTAAAAGAGGCTGTGGCATAGCAACCACTCCTGTATTGTGGGAAAATTGCACTGGGATCAGGTGCACTGAGCATTAACTTCTACTTTTATCCAAAACATAGGTGCATCATTCAGCGTAACATTCCCACAATGATTCAGAGGGAGGAATACCAGTTCGTACCCAGTCCATATCATTCCTTGCCAGAGCTTCCTCTAGCTATATTCAGTTTTGTGTTCCCAATTACCCTTCCCAATTATATGACTGCAAGTTTGGAAATAGCAGGTTTTCTGAAACAGCAGCTCTGGAAGAAATAGATAGCAGCTGGTAGTCTCTGGAAAGATTGGTAGGTAATTATTGCAAATAATATGGAATTATGTCACAATGGTTGAAAATAGCAGCTGAGTTTTGATGAGAAAATTTGCAGCTAATCCAAACACAAATCCCATATGCTTAGTTGCAACCATTTGTGTTTAATAAACTGTAGAGCAGTAGACTGTATATCAGTCAAACTAGCTGGTTGTGATGCAATTAATTTGCTACACATAAATATTCTTTATAGTAGTTATTAATCCCTGAAACATTATCTATAAAGCCTGAAAACTGGACAAGTTTGGTTTTTTTAGAAAGATATTTTTATGTTTATGAAGTCTATTAGTTCATTTTTTACAGACTAATTTCCTTGAAGTTCTTGTTCATAAAGATTTGAAATATACTTTAAACCATCTTATTAGAATCCTTCAAGCAGCTTAACCGCATGTTTTTATAAAAAAATACTGGCTTGGGAACTTCTGTAGAAAAAAATTGCCCTGAGTTTTTGTAGCCAAATAAGAAAAATCAGAGTTGAACAAAATATCAATTTGATTATCTGAATATTTAACATGTTCATCTTTTGTGAAGGTTGTTAGATTACCCTTTTTACCTTTTATAGCAACTAATACGTATCAAAAATTACATGGAAACTCAGAGTAATGTTATTACCTCAAGGTTAAAAAGAAAAAAAAGATTCTGTAGTGAGCAAGATTCTATTCCAGTTTGTTACATGACATTGTCTTTAGTGTATGTAGATATTTCTGCTTAGTAAGTCATCGTTATGACTTTTGTTTGTTGCTTTAAGAAAATCTTCTCAACTTTCTTCAGCAATTGCTGGAAAAATCAGCAAAAAATCAAACATAATTCCAAAGTACTGTTGTCTGGTCAAGGCCTGTGCAGAAAGTGCCTTGGATTATAGTCCTTCCTATTATGTTTCTTTATAAGTCTTTTATGTAAAAGAACTGCTGCCTGCAATTGAATTATGTGCCAGATACAGCACATATCACCAGGTCTCTGCTGATTTCATCACATAGCAAGTTCTTTTGCATATATTAATGCATCCCTGTAATAGCTTTTAAAAACAATCTCTCTTCAGTCTTGGTTATACAAAGAACATTTGAGCAGATTTTATTTTTTTCCTCAGTGCTGTTGCTCACTGGAGGCCTTCTTGAGGGGGTTCCCATCTCTGTGGTTTGTACCAGTGAGGAGGAACAATTCCACACAGTTTTCATTGTGGTTGCAGTTGCTGTAAGTTTCTGTTGCTGCAAGCCTGTGGAAGCACATGTGCATTACAGCATCACCCCTAAGGAGATATTCCCCCCCACCCCAAGTGGCATCAACAATGTAAAAAAGTTACACTTAATGGAACTGCAATTCCTAAAAGCAGCTAAAGTGCCCCATACACACAACTGAAGTTTATAGATGGTGCAGTTTACAAGAATCTTATCAGTATTTTTTCATTGAGGCATGACACAGTGATATACAAAATGCCAGAATGGGAGCTGAACATGACCTCTTCACAAAACTTATTAGATGCTTATAGAAATATGCTGCACTACAAGGAATGTTTCAGAAAAGGAGCAGCACAAAATAAAAAATATTATCAGCATTAGGTTTGCTGTACTGGAGTTTTCCTTGCCTAGAATCAGTTAGATTCTGATAATGTTAAGGTATTTCTGTCATCGTCTCTCCAGAGAGCACATTTGTACACAACTGACAGGTTTAGTTCCAGACTGTCTCAGTAGTATAATAATTTTGGAAAGCAAGAGTGGACTTTTTTAAATTGTTATATTATGCAGCTACTACAACTGTCTTCCAGAAAGCCCAAAATGGGTGTCTGTATAGGGAAACATGGCACTAGCTTTCCCTCCGGGAAAATAGACACAGATCTCCAAAATGCATCCAGGTATCCTGTGCTGGCTCACATTTACATTAGCTTGTGCAAGTTTTTCAGAAATTAAGAAAGCAATCTATTGGTCCTAATCTAAATTCAGAACACCTACAGTGATGTTGCTGCACTTTGTAACCAAAATCCATGGTTACCATGGATAAACCCATCTATCATCCAGTTAAAATTGTCACTGCTGACTCATAGGGGCACCTGTTTGCTCCCTTCTTTGGTTTAACTGAAGAGGTAAAATTCTTTCATACTGAATGACCTCATATGTCCTGTGAAGTGTTTGCTGATGTTCTCATACATTAATATCAGGAATTCTGGGTGTTTTTTTCACTTATATGTAACTAGAAATAATATCCTGGGAGACTCTTTAAATATTCTCTACAAGGCATAACAGCCTGCAGAAAAAAAGTTCCATTATTCATGAACTACTTTTGTGCTCATTTTTAATGTGTTATAAATTTTAACCTTAAAAAGAAAATATCTGTGAATGGTATGTATAAGTTGTACCCTCCTGGACAAGTTTGCCAATTAGTGGCAGTAGCTCATTTCTAAAATTGAAATAAGCATTTCCTTGGTTTGTGATACTATAGCAAACATTCTCAAGTTACATTGTATAATCTAGCAACTCATTTATGCAAAGCTTGAATGAAAAAAAGTGCTCTTCGTTTCAGAAATTCCACTCTTTTGGGATGCAATCTAGGACAGATTTTTAACAATGACTTCAGCGGGAGATGTGCAGTGAATTTCATAGCAATAACATAATTGTACTCAGTGAAAGACTGGTCTACCTTGTAAGAATACCTTCTATAGAGCAAATGTTTTATATAATAGTTTGTGAAAAACCTGCTGCCTACAAAAAAAGTAAGATTTCTCAGAGCCATGAGAGAAGGCAACATCTTTCTCTCTGTGCTCCTGTTTAATGCTTGTAACAATGATACTGGGCTGGGGAGAGTTTGTAGTAGCATGAAGATGAATAAATGCAATATTTAAACAGAAACTGATTTAGTGATTTTTCTTGAGTTTGGTGGAAAGGCAGTGAAGGTGAAAATGCTACTGCAATGCTAAAAAGGCAATAAAAGCCCACAAGGTCACTTCATAAGCTGATTTGCACGAAACTTAGTAACTCACTGCATAATAAAATGCATCTGAAACACTCACTCGTCAGATGGCATGGTGTACTACTGGAGTCCTGATTTGGCATAATAATAAAACTAAACATTTCCTTTTAATGTACCTGACTAGATCTGGAAACACAGAATGTGTCTTTCAGAGTGCATTTTCACTGACAGGAAATCCAATGCTACTTTCAAGTGTATGACAGAGGATGTGATGTTCCTGCTGTTACAGAAAATTAGGTTCCCATCCAAATACAGTAGATTTGTCTAAAGCTGTGTTGCAAAGCAAGCAGAAGTAAGGAGGTTTGGAACTGGTAAGTTCTTAATACATAGTATTTACACAAAAACATTATTCCTGCTGAGCATGTGTATTAGGTCATTTTTTAAGGGAGCTGGGAAAAGAAATTACTCTTTTGCTTAGGAAAGGATGTGCAAGTGACATGACACCTCAAACAAATGAGACCTGTGGACATTTTAGGAAGCTGTGAGCAGTAAATAAAGGTATGATTATTCTTCCCAAAACTTGTGGATCCCTGGTTTCATGCTGGGGGAGAAGGAAATGAAAGATTTGAGCAAGGATAAAGTGCCTGTTAGCTAAGGGATAGTAGGAATGGAGCTGTCCAGGTCTGCAGTGGCTGGGTGAGTAATGCAGACCATAGTGCACAAGTTAAAACAAGGATCAAAATCCTGGAAGGAAGGTGGACATTTGTTCCAAACAAATTAAATCAGATTTCAGAAATGCAGAAAGTTATTGCAGGTGGCTCCATGACTTCTGCCACCCACCTCCATCTGCAAATTCAGTATGTGGAAAACAGGAGGACACTGAGAAGGTGAAGTCTGAAAAATTTCAAAACCACTTCATCAAACCATCTTTTTTCACTTGTGCCATAAATCAGATGGCTGTAGAGCTGTGGAGTTTTTCCCTCTTTCTTTTTCTTAGCTCTGGTGAATGCAGGTTTCACACATTCACGTAGGACTGGCATTTATAGCTGTTACTTCCTTTGGCTACTACACGGCCATGGTTGTCTTTTCCAGCTTGACATTCAAAAGCTTCTTAACCATTTTGTAGCAGCCAAAGGAGGATATAAAGAATGGAAGTCAGCAAATTTGTGGTTTTTTCTCACTGCAGCGAAGAGAGGGGAGAAGCCTGATTTGTGGTTTGGTTTTTGTTTTTCCTAGCAGTACTCCAATCCTGAAAATTGAAACTGTTGTGGTATTCCTACCTCTAGAAAAATCAAACCAATTATGCTTTAAAACACAAGTCCTGTATTATTATGTCACTGGTGCACTGAGGCACAAGAATGTTATTTACTGTTAGAACACTATTAAGTGTTTTTATTTCCACTCCTTCTATTGCAGAACATGAAAAGCAGCGATTATGCAAAAGCACAGATTATATGAATTTGCACTTCAAAGTGAAATGGTTTTATAATGAATATGTGAGAGAACTCTCTGCTTTCAAGGATGCAGTGCCTGAATACTCTCTGTAAGTGATGTTTCGGGAAAGCTTCTGTGAATCTGGGCTTTGTGCAAGGTTTGTTTTGGTCAAATATTTATGCTCAGGTTTGTGTGAGATCTGGAGGTGTGTAGCACCCAACAACTACATTTTGCACTTTATTCTCTTTAATTCTTCATTCTGTCAAGTGGAATAGTCCAGGTGCTAAATGTGCAATTAGCTATTTCATAGGTTTCTACAGTTGTAACTCCAGGTCATCAGAGATGACAAAATGCTTTGGTCAGAAAATGTCTGTGGAAGGTAGGAGATGTGGGAACAGCAGCATTATTAGTTGCAGGTCCCTGCATTTGTTTCGTAACCAAATTTGGATACAGCTGTAGTGCTAACAGGATATACTACTGGAATCATTCTTACTGGATTGGATTAATACTCAGCTGCTGGCTTTGTTTGCACCTGTCTTCCTGCAAGAAATATATTCAGTATATGAGCTACCCTTAATCTTCTGCAGTTCTGCTGGTTAGCTGAGATGGTTTGAGACCTGTTATTATTTTTTTTAAGAAATGAAAGAAAAATAAAACACAGCTGATTTTTACTAAAACAAAGTTATGCAAAAATTACTTCAGATACAAATAAAAAATAAATGTTACCAAAAAGCCATTATTGATAGAAGGTGCATTCCTGCTATGCTTCACTGGTAGAAAATTGGCTACTGCCTATTTTACATCACCAGAGTGAGAGCCTTGTGAAACTGAAGCCTGAAAAGCCTTTTGGTAGCTGCAGCATTTTGGTGACAAAAATTTTTCCAGGGTTGTTGGAATGTTTAGCAATTAGAACACATACAAAAACACGAGGTGCCAAACTGCTGGGTAGTACGACATCTCTCCTCTTGCCATCTTCATGAAATATACCTACTTTACTTTACAAAATTGCTTTTAATTTTCAGGTGGTTTGAACCATTTGTCATTCAGTGGCTGGATGAAAATGAGGATGTCTCAATGGAATTTCTTCATGGAGCACTAGAAAGAGACAAAAAAGATGGGGTGAGCCTTTTTAAGGAAGAGAATAAATAAATTATTAAGACATATATTATTACAAAACCAGAAGTATATTTGGTCCCACAACATCCTTCTTAGACTTCAGGAGATAACAGCTTTTGGAAGATACCTTACAGAGAAATTCCTGTTCTAATTCCCTCTGATTCCTTCTGCCTAAATCCCCACAGAATTTATTCTATGGTATCATTTCATTAACCTATGATGTCATAATGGTGTCATGAATGAAAATTCTGGTTTATTTTTAAAAGGTTCAAAAGTATCAGAAAAGTTAAAAGCCACATTTCTTAGTATTACCAATGAGACTTTTCTTTTTATCACTTTTTTTGATTCTAGGAGGATTTTCAAGTATAAGAATCAATGAATACAGTTTTGATCTCTGAACAAATACTGACATTTGAATGTTTCTCTCTAGTTTCAGCAAACATCAGATCATGCCCTCTTCTCTTGTTCTGTGGTTGATGTCTTCACACAGCTCAATCAAAGCTTTGAGATTATTAGGAAATTGGAGTGTCCTAATCCAGAAGCACTATCTCATTTAATGAGAAGGTTTGCAAAGGTAAATTAAAGCCAATGCATCTCAACTAAGCTTCAGAGAGAATGACACTGTTGCCATGTACTTGAAAGATAAGTGATTCCAGTGCTTTTTAGATTCAATGGTTTTTATCTACTTGGGATCCTTAGAAAGACATGATGTTTGTGGCTTTGTGGTTTTGTCTACTTTGTCAAAATGGTTTACCAGTTTGAGAATCTCTGAGATTTCACATTTATGCATTTTATACATATATGAATGCATCAATTGTTATCTTGCTAAGAACTGATTGCAGTTCCATTAATGGAGCCATTCATTGAAATGCAAGTAGCTAATTAGGCAGTGCAAGTGAAGGAAAAATTCCAGGTGTGGCAATAAAGAATTAAAGAATTACTACCTGAGGTGGTAGTTATTCACCTGCTGCTTGATAAACTCAATTCTGCCTGCTTTCTATTTCAACAGTTACATTTCCTCACGAGCTCTGAATTTCTATTATAGTCCTGCTGGCTTTAGAAAAGTTCACATTTACATTTAATTCTGTTCTTTCATTGCAACTATTCTCCATCTGCAGACTTCTTATTTACATGATTATTGTAAGGTAACTCACATTGCCAGGCTTTGAACAGTGCTCCTCTTGTCTTATATTTCCATTATATTTCTAGTCTACATATTGTCACCCTGGAGGATTTTTTGAGCTTGCTACTGTTCCATTAATTATGTAGTACATTGCAAGGAGTAGAGTTCTCAGTGCTTCTCAAAAGCAGTACTGCTAAAATTAAACTCTCTGCTATTGAAGATTGCTTTACATTAAGAACTACCCACCAGCTGCTGTGCAAGGATTTGAAAATGTGATCACGAGATTGTTTTTATTATATCTAAAAAATATGATATACTATGTGCGTAAGCACCTGTAAAGCCTATTGTTCATACAAACCTCTCCTTTTAATAATTTTGGTTTACATTATGAAATTCACCATTTAAAAGAGCCTTCTCCTCTTCTAGACCATCAACAAAGTACTTGTTCAGTATGCTGCAATCATTTCAAGTTACTTCAGCTCCTATTGTGATAAAGAAAATGTGGTGAGTAAGAATCTATGGCTTTTTTCTGCCTCAGAAATTGCCTTTAAATTACTTACTGTACTTTTCAAAAATGTAATCACTTCTATATATGAAAAAGCATGAATGGAGGGAGGTCAGCATGTTTTCATAGCTACTTACAGTGTTGTGTAAAAGCTACAATAAGTGAAATTAGTTAAAAACCCTAGTTAATAATTTCGGTATTAAAGCTATAAAGTAAACAAAATGACTACAAACATGCTGTGGATAACAACCTAATACCATGGTGAACATGGTGAATGTATCATCTTGTTTCTCAAAGAGAGGAAAATACCTTTATTTAGGGTTTTCCCTTTGCATTGCCTTGCCTCTCTGTATCAGTTTGTGCATCAGGGAGTTTCGAAGATCCCCGTGCAGGGAACGTGTGCAGAGGTTTCTGCTGCTGCCCCTCACTGGGCTTTGCTTTACCCCTGCAGAGGGGAGAAGAAAATTGTGCTGTTTTGTTGCCTCACTGCTTTACAAGGGAGTTCCTAATGAAGGACCAGATTGCCACAGGCTCAGAAATAAATGAGATATGGACACTAAAGATGTAATTGAGCAAATGGAAACATTTTCAATACTTTAACAAGACCAAGGAAGAGTATTCTTGGGAACTGGCTTTTCAATATCATTGATATTCAATCAAAGCTAGCTCTCCCTTGGCAGGCAGCTTTTAGCACAATGCCTGCTGTATTTAGTAGTGTTTTGCTCAGCTGTACCAATCTGCAGTGGATCAATGACTGCAGCCCCATCCTCAGACTGTTCACCTTTAATGGTAGAGCCCTTAGCCCATCACAGATCTTAGCAGTCCTTGTGCCACATCCCTGTGTGTGACATCAGCCAGTGCTCTGTACAGTTCAGGGCAGTGTGGTCGTCTAGAGGTCACCTACACACAATAATAGAATTTAAAAAGACATCTATTGCAGCTAAATATCAAATATTGGGAGTTCCTATGAATCTAATGTTTATATTAAACAAAGCTCACTGCTTTCTAGAAGAAATTACTTCTAAAAAAGCATTGAATCGCTAATTGTTTGTCCAGTCCTTTGGCCTGTCCAATGGGATTTTTTTAATTTTTGGAGTGAATAATTTCTGAAGTCATCCTCATATACCCATCTTTATTAAAGCTTTAGATGCAATTAATCTCATTATGAATGAAATAATGTCTTGGGTTGGAAGGGACCTTAAAGATCATCTCCTTCCACCCCTCTGCTGTGAGCAGAGACACCTTCCACTAGACCAGGTATAAAGTATTGTATCAAATGCCTTTGAGTGACATACCTTTTTTTTACAGAATTTGCCTTACATGCTTTTATCTTAATAAAAGTTGATTTGATCTGGTAATTTCAGCTACAATAAACGTTCATCTGCATTGAAGTTGATAAAAGAGATTAAAATGAATACTTTTTATTATTTAAATTACAATTTGGCATTCTTTTTCAAGTCAATATTTTCAGTAATCTTATTAAACACTACTGAATGTACACATATACTGCTCAAATAAAAGCATATCAAAGATGCTTTTCACAAAGGTATTTATCTAATGTAGAAGCAGCCTCTTATCTTCTACCTCCTGTCAGCATTTGCAAACAAATATGAGTTCTGGTATTGTACTTGCCACTCACTTTTACCTGTTCTTGCATCTGTCTGATTCCTGTAAACTGCTGCACAAACTATGTTGAAGGGTAGGTGATAATGAAATTAATGAGAATATATGAAATAAATGAGAATGTTTTTATGTTCTTTACTTAACAGCAATAGCAAAGTTTTCATTGAGTCAAGGTTAGCCTACCTGAGCCTCAAATGAAACTTTGAAACTGCTTCAGTGTGAAGTGTTTCTCTTATAACTTCAGTGTATTGCCCAAGGCATTTGCATTTGTTTGGAAGAAAAGGAGCAAGATGTTATATTCATATACCTATAACCCCATCACATATCATAATTCTCATAATTCTTTATTTGTGATATGGCAGAAAATTTTCGAAGTAATTCATTTGTTAGAAGTCAGGAGATAGTACAGGATAGGAGGATACAATCTTAGTGATTGTAAATTACTAGAAGGTAGATAGACAAATAGAAGTGGGGTTTGTGGATTTTTCAAGAGATGAGCAGAGAGGTGACATTTCAGCTATACAAAGCCAGATGCATTCTGTAGGATGAGCACCATGCTTCACTGGGAAAGAATAATCTAAGTGGTAAGAAGTTAGACCAAATTTCTTTTTTTCTTCTTCTATTGAGAAGGACTCTGACACCAAATTCCTATGAGAGTAATGTATTAATAATCGAAGTTAAATTGTGTTATTGATCCCATCGTGTTTCAGCTCTGCTTTGAAACGTGCTATTAACTAGGAAGGTGCAGATGAGTATCAAACACTGTAACCATTCCATCACCACCTTGTTGTTTGAAAAAGGTATATGTGTTTTATTGAAATGCATTTCCTCATTCTAAATTAATGCAGCATGCACTAGAACACACTGGCCTTGGCCAGGCACAGTTCTTTTAGTAAGTATCCTCTGATTCTTCATCTGCACCATAACAAACCAGTATATAAGGTTATCTAAGTACACAATATTCTAGTAATAGATTCTTTCTTCCATTATTATTGTAACTAGCTCCTTAATTTTATTAACATTTTACTTTTAACCTTATATGAATGCAGAAATTGTATTCATATATTTTCATGTACGCCACTTTTGCACAGTGGCTCTTTTGCACAGTGTTCTGCCTTTTAAAAGTTAGCTTAAACAGCAATATTTCTAAATTAAAAAAATATGATTACAGAGTTCTATTGTCTAATTTATTCACCGGCTTTTCAAGTAATGGAAAAATGCATATTTCTAAAATATTATTCTGTTATTAACAGAGCTGCCTCTTGATTTATTCAAATACTTAAGCATCAGCCATTATATGGGTTACAGTGTTGTCATGGTTTTCTGCACAAGCTGGGTCTAGCAAGCAGTGAGGCAATGCCTTTCCTGCAGCCTCCTGTCACCCCCAAAGCACTCAGATCATTGTTGCCTCTGCTCTCCACGGGATGCTGGTGCTGCTTGCATTAATCCACCAGATGTAACTGTATTAGGTATGACTAGAAACTATCTGGGATAGCTCAGCACATCAAATTCTGGGATCTGAAACCTGTTCAGCTGACTGGGAGATGGTTCCCTGTGGGGCAGCACTGCTCTTAGTTTGCAGTCATGGGCTGAGCAGGCAAAGAGAAGGGTCAGTTAAGGAGGAAGGAGAGGCAGCAGTGGACAGGAAGTTCCTCTAATGGAACTTGAGAATGTAGGAATGAAGATGGTCTTAGAAATCTTTTCCAACTGTAATGATTCTATAATTCTCTGAATGTAGGGCTGCTGAAGAGTTGCTCATGCACAATCTCACATTAGATGCTCTCTCTGTAGGCCTGTATCTTGATGAACAACATTCAGCAATTAAGAGTCCAGCTTGAGAAAATGTTTGAGTCCATGGGAGGGAAGGAGGTGAGTCATATCCATGTCCTGGTTCGTTTAAAGTTCCTTAGAGATCATTAGCACCATATCTGCAACCTACTCAAAGCTTTCACTTCTACTTGCAAAGAAAATCAAAATGCTAAAAAAGAAGTCTACAAGACCTATTTACCGTCCTGACAATACTGCAAAGACGTAATGCTAATTCACACACACTTGCTAATGATCTGTAATGTTCTATCAGCTCTGGGTGTTTTGTGTTGCAAACTGTAGTGCCAGCTTTATTTTAATGTTTGTATTGGACTATACTTTGCTTTTTATGTATCGGTACGTTTTGTCTGTAATGTGTCATTGTCTTTGTCCAATGCCTTTGACTTGCAATCCACTGAGCAGAAGAAAGAAGGAGAGAGATTCTCTTATGAGGTTTGTGATAGTAAGCATCTTTTATTATTCCTGACCATATTTTCTAAGGCTAAGAACAGTCATATTTACTGCATATTTCCATTGAAGCATTTGTGTAATTCCCTATGATCTAAAATCAAAAAGAGCTATGCTTGGGCATTCAGTTGACACTAAACTGAAAAGTTTTACTAGGCAGATAGTGTAAAACCTTTCAGAGTTCTAAAAAAATCTATAAAACATTTTAAGTGCACTTTTCAATATCTGAAGGCCTGGTTGTATTCAAGATACCATTTCACCAAGAGCTTTTACTCAACAGTTCAAAATACCCTCAGCTTTACCCTGTTTTTCATTTCAGAAGATTTAAAAGCACCTGGAGTCCTGTCCAACAGTAAAAGGACATAAACAGTGCTTCAATACCTTCCTGAGTGTAGTCTTTTACTGTTTAGTAAAGAAATTAAGAAATTAAGAAATTAAGATATGTTAATTAAGAAATTAACATATCTTCAAGCCATAGAAAAAAATCCTGTCTACTTGTTGAGAAACAATGTTTAGAACATGAATATCCTACCCATATTATCAGTAGCTGGCTTTAAAAATTAAGTACTGCATGTATCATCATTTTTCTTCTTGAGGCTGTAGCTTGATAGATTCACAGAATTTTGATCTAATGTGGCCACATTACATAGAGAGAACTGGAAAACACAGCATTTCATATTTCCACATCCACAGTGGTGCCCTGCAGAGGTGAGATGGGTCCCCTTTGCCATGCAAGGAGCTGCAGCCTCCAGATGCACCTACAGAGTCACTCCAGTCCCTCCTGCTGAGCCAGGAACAGATCCTTAAAGCTGCCACTGCAAAAATAAGTCCTGCTCCAGATAACAGGAAATAAACTTCTGCAGCCTTGTCACTGCAAATTTCTTACCAAACTTTGAAAATAGACATTCATCATCCAGAAGTGGCTGTTTTTGTGGTTCCTATTATATCTTTTCCCTCTCTGAATATTACACGTAATCTCGTCCTCCATGCTTTTATGTTCTGTGCAAAGTACTTTTGTATTAAGTCTTGGATCCAATCTTAATTTTGAATGTTGTGATTCATGAAAACAGGTAAATGTCCGTAAATCAGGATAATGACAAGGGCAGAGAAAAGCTGAGTCACATTTTATGTCTATTTCTATCAAATTATTTTCAACCAGAATATTTGCTTGAATCTCTAAAATGTCACTTTTCCACAAGAAAATATTAGTTTTTCATTTGCTCCTAATGCCTTATATATTTTTTTTTTTAAGTTAGGCATTTTTCATAGCAATTTTCTTTCAAAAGTTCTTATGACTTCTCATCCTTTTTGGTTTTCTTTTGATGTTAATGAAGATTAATTATTAAGGTTGTTACAGTATCAAAGCAGAATTTCCTACAAATATGGTGCAACACACAACCCACGGAGACAATTTGGATGTATTTTCCTATAACCCCTTCATTAGGTGCCTTAAGTGCATCTCTTATTCACGGTCTAAGACAAAAGATCTTAGAAATACATTCAGACTTCTAGGGCTACTTCTTGAAGAAAAGCACATTCGTGTTCAATTTTTTTTCACCCATACCAAAATGCCACTAAAATGTTTGTCTTCCAATTGGAATATTTACTCCCCTCACTATTCCAAAGGCCCAACTGCTAATGGCCAATTTGGCTTATTGAACTGGTACTCATAAGAAACAAAGCCAGCAATAAAATCTCTAAGCAGTTTCCTTGAAGGGAAAAAACAGTTTAATATTTCACTTGTGGAGGGCATAAAAGTCAGATGATTTTCAGCAAAATAATGAGACCTATTTCAGTTGAAGCAAAACTAATTCTAAGAAAAATTAAATGCTGTTAATCTCCTCAGTGTCACACTGTGAGCAGTATGTCTTTCAAACTGTGCAGTCAAAATAACCACAATCAAGCAGCTATCCCTCTGTTCAGGGTAGGCTTATTGCACATTGCAGGCAGGGAGCTCTATAAATAGAGAAAAAACTGGTTTCTCAGATCCCCCACCATTAAAATAAAATAGTCTGAACAAGATGAGCTTCTTTATTAGCTGTCCTCCTCTGCTGCAGCAAAGCAGGGAGGGTACTTACAAATCATATCAATGAGAACAGTCTGCCATAAGAAAGAGTAGTAAAGTGCATCCAACCCACTGTTTGTTTGGGGTTTTTTTAATCAAGTCCAAAAACACAGGAACAGATCATCATCATAGAATTTTGGTTTAGCTCCTGTATGTTTCATCCAAAAGGAATGCATACGTTTACACTAAATATTTTTTTTCATGTCTGACAAGCTGGAAGCTGATAAAAGAGAAAGAAGGGAAGGCAGTGATTATGTTGTTTTACACCAGATGACAGAACATGGCAGAAATGAGTTACAGTAATTAGGATCAAAAAAAAAAAAAGGTGTAAAGCAAAAGGAGGTTATGTATGACAACCTTTATTATATAACCTATTACTGTAGATAAAATATATTCCCACTTTGGTAAATTCAGTTCCAATTTTACACATAAAGCTTAGGAATTCCTATAGCAATCTATACGTGGCCTTAAAGACTTTGATGGGGTGACAGGACCAGACTTCAGCAGAATAGTTCAGCAGTGTCCATCTTTATGTCTTGTACAGAGGCCCAAGTGCTTTTCAGTGTGCTTGGAGCAGTGGCAGCCAAACATCTCCCATCTCACTGTCCTAAGGGTGTGGGTGGAGGAGGGGTGGTGTCTATCAGAGACAGAAAGAACCACTAAAGTTACGGAGCTGATAAACATCTGTACTTGCAAGATACACAGAAAATATGTAAAACTATTTTCTGAACAGAATTAACCAGGAAATTCCATTAGAAAAATGATAAGTAATTAGACTTGTGAAATTGTAAATAGAATTCAGATTAGAGAGGTTCCATTTAACTCATGCAAAAGTAATTTACATCTCTAGTTTCCTGCAGAAAACACCAAATTTGCAGTTAACAAGATTATGTCCATACTAGCACACATTAAGTTACAGCAGCAAATACCTCAATCTGAGCCATTGAAAGCAGCCAAATTCATCAGATTTTTAACTCTTTTCCAAGTCTTGGCTGTAAAAAAAAATTACAGTTTTAAGACAGGCAGAATTTGGAAACAATGATGTTCAAATATTTATTATTTTTTCAGCTGTTCAGCAAATGCGTTCTCAGTTTTTGTGTAGCATTCAGAAAAAGTCAAACTTCTAATTATGTCTTTGATAATGCATAATCAACAGATCTTACGTAGTGTGCCAACAGATTTATGAGTACATTCCCTTGTGGGTAAAAATTAATTCTGCTACTTAAGAACATAATAAAATAACAGAAATATGAGCTTAGAAAAGGCAATAATATTAAGAATTGATATAAAAGTATCATTTACACATTATTAATGAAATAAACCTGATCCTTTAAAAAATCCAGTTTTGAAACCTTAGCAACCTACCCCAATGTATTTTAAGGCTAGTCCACACATGCTGGGAACAGTAAATGGAACCCAGAATACATTTGTCCAAGGTATAAATGCATTTTTTCTCTTTTGCTGCTTAAATTAGATATGATACACTAATGACACTCATAGCTAGGTTTTATTGTTGGTTTGTTGTTTTGATTTGTTTTTTCACAAAATAATCTGCTCAAGTAGAGCCTTTTATTTTCCTTGTATATGTTCAGGAAAGTTTGTTAGTTTTCATTCCTCCTTCATCAAAATCTATGAAGCAAATGAGACTTGAAGAGAAAAAGAGAAGTCCCCAATACCACAAATACTTCATTTTCATGTCTGTATATCCTTCTCTGCCGTAGTCTCAGATGCTGGTCAGCATTGCCTTTGGTCTCACTTCCATGCTTCCATCTTAGCTCTGCCATATCAGGAAAAAGAAGCAGGTCATGCTGTGGCATATTTGGGTGATGTCTGAGGACAATCATTAGCACATAGAAGCCACGTGAGAAAATAAATGAAAAGTGCACATTTTAGTTCTGGAGAGACACTTAAATCACCATTTTTTCCAGTACCTAAAGAGAAGTAGAATTTAAAAATCTTGCTGACATCTTCCTAGTGATGCCAGCATGGCCAGGTGTGGAGCACCTGGCCGGGCAGCCCGCATACCTCTTTGTGTCGCACGCCTCCCCGTGCCACCTCATCGATGAGCATGAGCATGTGTACACACAGGGCTGGGGGTCCTGCCAGATGCCTCCAGCTGTGCACACACAAACTTGTTCATGCAATTTGTGAGCACAAAGCCTCTAAAATGTTTAACAATTGCATGCACCCTTCTATAACGTGTATAATGTCCACAATCTGGCATTAGCATTTGATCCAACTTTGGCCGGACTAAGTTCAATTCCAGGTGAATTTAGCAGATACATTGTGTTTTCTGGTTATCACAACTACCTCTGATAGAAAGTAACTACATTGACCTCTATAGGCCCAGTAACAAGGTGATTCTTTAGTTTGTGCATGGTCTGCTAAGAAATTTTGAGTCTTCTGTTTGCCTGGTATTTTGTGTTTTCCTTGACATGTACCGTGTTCAGTGTGAATGCTTGTGTGTTCTGTGTTTGTTAAATGTTTATATTCTAGTGGTCTTAAATTTGGGGTTTGTATGTATCCCTCCAAAGGAGATAGTATAATTCCCTAGGGCAATGCATTTCCTGGAAAAATCTTTGCCTTTGATAGATGCCTTAATTTGTTTACTAATATAGACATTGCAGTAAAATTAGCTTTTTAATTCCTGCTCTTCATATGAAGGAAAGCAATCAATTTAAGTGTATGAACTGTCAAAGTGTATCTGCCAGGGACACAACTAAGATATACAGAAGCAACAGAAGTTCTCTCAATGCAAAGTAATTCAAAACTTAATCAGTAAGTAGTCACAGTAAGTACTTACAGTAATAAGTAAAACATGAGCTTCTCAGATTAGAAGAGTTCTACACGACACTATCTTCTAAAGGATGTGTGGTAATTCCCCCCTGTCACCTGTTTCAGGTTCTTGTCAAAACCTATAGTGAAAATGTTGAATTTTCTATGATTTTAACCCACACATAACCTCTAAGGAGATAAAGGATTGTCTAAGATTAAAACAAAGTAGATCATTGGATCTATTTCAGTTTGCTTTGCTGTAGAATTCCTGTGTAGTCTCATGTAAATTATCCAGCTTCCCCTTGTCTCTGAAGTGTGATTAAAAGAACTGACCTGCTGCACCACAGTGTTCTGAAGCACCAGAGGAAAAATAAGCACCAAGCACTACTCCTGCAGTTGAAAGATAGAAAAACACAAATAGAAACAGCCCTGATTATGTATTCTAAATGTGCAGTGTCCTTTGAAATTGTCAGAAGATCTGTACCTGACATTGCCACAGAACAGAGTCCACAAATTAAGGTTTATCACTGAAAATCTTTCCTTAACACTGGGATGTAGACACCTGAAAGACCTGGCACATCAGCTATTAATTAACATTCAGCTGTTGATCCCAATGATCATCTATCATATCCCACAACGGGCTGTAATTATTTTTCCTGAGTGCTAAAGATCAGGGAGATAAAAAAATTATTCTTTTTTATTTTAAAAAGAATCCATAGCAAATAAACGAGTTTGTTGACCAATATCAATAGGGTACCTTTTTGATTCAAAACCTATGCATGAATCCTCATCCCTGTAAATATAAACATATATTTCTCCCCTGCATAAACTTTCTTCCTATGTTTAGAAAACCTGTATCAAAGCATCAGAATGTGTTGCTCTGTGCTTGAATTTTGTTTGCCCTAATGGCTTTTAGAAACAGCAGTACTGAAATTTGGTAGAGTCCCTTCCCACATACTCTGTCAGTAGAATTGGCATGGATGGTCTTCAAGCCATCTTTTTCAGTGCTGGCTGTTCTAATTTTACACTGCATTATGGAAACATTTGAAATATGGAAACAACTTTAATGCAAATCTCAAAAAAACATACCAACAGTAGTGAAAGGTACAAAAATAATAAAAATATGAAGGCATCTGCACCACTATTAACATGAGCACTGACTTTTCCTGCATCCTTCTCTTTGTGTGTCTTGTTGAATACCAGTGGCCTGATAAAGGTAGTTCTCTCCTTGTGACTGCCAACAACCTTTCCCAGTCCCACAGAAAGTCATTTTCCAATGGCACAGTTTTGATTTCTAATATAAACATTCCCTACTATAATCAAAGATATTTCCATAATTTTTTTTAAATGGTAATTGTATTTTAAGGCCTGTTAAAGCAATTCTGTGTCTGTTCCAACAGGTGTTTCCACATTTGGTTCTCCATAGTGCAGTGCACCTTTGCATATAATTATTAATTCATTGATTGTAATGGAAACTCCAGAAACCTAGTGTATAAATAAAATGTAATCTTATTTATCTTTGCAGTTGGATGCTGAAGCTAGTGTTGTTCTAAAAGAACTTCAGGTGAAACTTAGCAATGTATTGGATGAACTCAGTGTAACATATGCTGCAAGGTAACAAACCCATTTTACTGCAAACCTTAGAGGAATATTTCTGCTCAAAAAATCTCTCTCATTGATGAAGTCTGGGTGGTTATTTGGGTGTCCTGAGGCACAGCTTGCTTCTGCTCTGATGGAATAGTGTGCATTTGTGTGTGTGTGTGTGTGTTTAGACTCTGAAACAAATAACAGTAACCTCGCTGTAAAGACAACTGAACATCATCTGTGGACATGAACATGTTACAGAGGTGAGGCTGATGGCTTTTGTTCTGCTTTTTGGAGAGCAAACTGACTGTTTATTTCTTGCCTGATACTATGTTAAACTTCCCTCTCTGACCATGTTAATGTTACTTCCTGTGACTGACAGCTTTTTCCAAGTGGCCTGCTTCAAGCAGGGATGTCTGCATGTGTTTAGCCTGCTTCAAGTGGTCATTGTGAATGGCCTTCTTGGGTCATTTGCTTGCCTGTGGCTCTTCAAAAATTGTCTACTGAGCCTTACTCTCAATATCTTTCATTAATCAGAGTGCGCACTGCAGTCCTGAATGAGTATGGTGCTGTGCCAGCAGTGCTTGTGGTATAAAAAGTAGCAAGTTACTTTTGCTTCAAATTAGAAACAAGACTAAGGAAGAGGGATTAGTGCTGTAGTGGTGTTCATTAAGCAAAATCTGTAGTTGCTTATTTAATCCTTCCATGGGCAGTCTGGGTGGACAGTCTGCTTTGTTTCTGAGTGTGTGTAGTTTGCTGTATTGTCTTGCTATACTCTTGCTCCCAGGCTCTGCTTCTCGGATCATTGACAGTGCATGAATATTATTTCTTTCCAGGGCTTCTTTCTGAATGAGCCAGCTAGGTTTCTGCAAAAGCAAACCCAAAATAGCTCAGTGCAGGATATGCTCCAGATAGCGAGAATATTCCTCATGGGTCAGTTTACTGCTAGGGTCTGTGAGGTTAACGATGTTGGAAAGATGTCTAACGTCAAGGCAATGCATTATTTTGGCTTTTGTTGGAGCGACTGGTCCCAAGAATTTCCATGAGCAGTTTCACTAGCTGCCTCATGCAGATTTTATCTAGGGCTTTAAAGTGTGTAGGTAAGTGTACTCTGAAGTGCATTTGGAAAAGTTTCTGATTTTTCCAGTGATTTCACATGGAGGTTTGCATTCTCTTTTACCAATTAGCTGTGTCACTGGAACAAATGATTGTTTCTTTTCTCTTACAGTACATTCTCTTTCACTCTCCTCAAGTTAATCTTTGCCATTTATCTTTTCACCTTAACAGGCCATGTATATTTTTTGCCTCTATTTTGCATTTCTGCTTATAAACTAATCCTAAACCCTTTTGATCCATCACAAATCAAAGCATAAACCAAATCATTGTGTGTGCAGAGACTTTTCCTGCCTCTGAACGGGTGACTGATTAACTGCTGTTCTGCTTTGTGTCAATATGTTGTCCAAAGATTATCACATCAATAGCACTTTAAGACTGTCAGACACTCAACCAGATCAGTTAGGAAACAGAACAGTTTTCAGAAAAGCAGAGCAGATAAAAACTTGAGGAGGAAGAATGTGTTCACAGTCACCTTGAAGTGAAAAATATTCCTCCCAGGAGGAAGTCTGAGTGCTTCTAAGCAAGGGGTTTTTTTACAAAAGGATATTTTAAACAGTCCAAGTGTTTTAGCTCTTTGTAGTTGCAAAGAAGTAAAAAAACCTTGTGATGGCACTGACTGTATGAAATCTGGAAAAAATCAAATTGAGCCAAACAAGGCAGAATCAGTAGGATTTTTTGATTTTAGCTCAAGAATCAAAGCTTGGTTCCTATTAACCATCAAGAGAAAAACTATTTATCATCACCTGTTTGTATCATCCTTTCACACCAAAAATAAAACCTTGAGAAGTTGTTCGTAGCTAGTAGTCAATCACATCTAACCTATAGGTTTTGATACATCTGTTGCTTTCAGAAAATAAATATTTGGCACACCTACAAGGGTATGAAAATTGTGGTAGAATGGAAGCAAGGCAGGGAAAAGATCAAAACACAGCATGAATTATTATATGAGCTATGATTCTCAGTAGAACTTATTTTCAGACTGTAACACCACAGTATCTTCAATTTTGAACGTCACATCATTGCAGAAAATATTTAAGTCTTGTTAAAAACTTGATTCAAAATCATCATCATTGTTTTTTCTCCCAGAATTCTTTCATTCTCTTTTTTTTTTACATCCCATAGTTTCCAATTTGTTGTTGAAGATTGTGTGAGACAAATGAGCAATGAACTGAATCAAATGAGAGGAAATGGGAATGCAGCAGCCAATAAGAACAGCGCAGCCATTGATGCTGAGATTGTGCTTCGGCCTCTCATGGATTCCCTGGACAAAACGTAAGTGTGGCAGACTGGGAACTGGAGTCAGGCACACTTGGTTTTACTCTGAAGCACTGTTGATACCTGGAAGCACTCTATAGCATTTTTAATATTTCTAGTGTTCACTCTGTGCAGAATCCCATGCCTAACCTGTTTACTTACACTGAGCAATTTTTACATAAGCTGCAGGCTTGTCTTTCCATGTCTTGTCATATTTTGAGTCATTGAAAATGAGCCGGTGCATGGCCTCTCTTCCACAGGCTGTGTTATGAAGATTGTGCTGAACAAAAGAACAAAAGCAATTCCTATACTGAAGTGTTCTGGCATTTGTTCTGGGCTTGTACCCAATGTCCCACAGCTTATTGATATACACTTCTGTGTCACCAAAGACCAGATCATCATCTAAACAGCACCTTGATTTTTTGATTTTTTTTTTTTTAATGGTAAAATGCTAAGTTTTGAGAGGATCCTGCAAACTGGTTCTGGCCTCTGTAAGTAAGCCTAACTTATGGTATCATCATTCAGCAGTGACAAGTTCTGAAAGGCCATGTGCAGCACAGGCACATCTGTAAGCACATTGATGTCCTTGGTCATTGGTGCTTGTCAAACCCCAGTGGCCTTTTGGTGGAAGTGAGAATAAGCAGCCTGGCACTGATCCTTTACTCAAGGTCTCCACTCCTAAGTTACACATCCCTTTCATACCTTGTCCAGGTTTTCCCCAGCCAGAAATTTTCAAAGTTAAGGTGGAAAAGGTGCTCAAAAAATTTAATTTTACGGTAAGTAATAGATAGCAAGATTGCTCAGACATGTCAGTATTTAGAAATAAATGCTTCCAAACAGTAGCTGTGAATTTGCATTAGCTATCAGCAACCAGTTCTACATCCCAGTAGAAATATAAAACAAGAGAGACAGTTGCTTTTTATTTTTAAGACATAAACAAATTATATACTAAAACTTAATTTAGGGGCATGGGAATGCTAAATTGTATCATTCATCAAACTTTATAACTCATCATGATTTTGCATTTTCAATAAATATGCATCAGTGATATACCAAGCATTAAATTAGATAGTGGAGATTTATATGGGTTTGTAGACTGCAAGTCTTTTTACCAAAAATATTTACTGATAATATTGCAAAATAATTTTTCTACTGAGAAATTTTTATTGGTAGAGAAAAGATAAACCTTAATGGCTATTAATCTGAGCATGATAAAGCACCTCTGAAACCTTAATGCTAGTTTTGGTGACTGATTTGTGTTTTTGTTTTATTCCAGTTTAAGTGTCTCTGCAAAAATCTGTGAGAAGACAGTTCTGAAAAGAGTTTTGAAAGAGCTCTGGAAGTTAGTCTTAAACAAAATAGAAAAGCAAATTGTGCTTCCACCACTGACAGATCAAACTGTAAGTGTTCCAGAGTACTTCTCAGTTGCTATAAAGGACTGTAATGATGTGCCTGACCCTGTTCTGTACCTTGACCACCAGAAGTAACAGCTGGACTGCAGGCAGTGTGTTGCTCTTGGGTGTCCCAGAGTTGTCCAGCCAGCTTGCTCTTAGCTGGTGAGGAAGACTTCATTCCTTCATTTACTGCCTGCCCCAACTCAGAGCAGTTTTTATGAATGTAGTCATGGAGAGAATGCAGTCATGTGCTCTCATACAGGGGGTTTTAAATCCAATTTCTTTCTCTGCTTCACTGTGCACAGTACAATGAAGAGTGTTCCTTGCCCTTCCTAGTCATATCAGAAACTCAATCACTTTCATTTTTGCAGCTTTGAGAAAGCAAGGGTGCCCCATCTCATCCTCCAGCCCTGCCTGCTGTGCCCTTCCTCATCTTGAGGCAGCACTTAACATCAGGAAGCTTAAACCAAATATAGTGCTAAGGATTTGGGGTATTTTACTAGCAGACTGGACAGGAGGTGTTCTTTGGGCAGAGCTGCATTTCCAGCCTGCTGAGGGCAGGGAGCTATACTCCCAGAAAGTGGCTGCACAGGAGACTTGTGGGGCATGGCCTGATGTGAATTCTGGTGGCTGAGCTGAGGGCAACAGTGAAATCTGATCCTGTCAAAGGATCAACGAGAGTGCTTGGCTTGGAGGTCTTTTCATAATTACATGGAGTTTTTGGGGGTTTTGTTGGGTCTTTTTGTCGTTGGGGGTTTTTTTTGGGAGGGTGTTGTTTTGGAGGTTTTTTTGAGATATTGGGATAGCATAACTTAATTAATTTTGTTTCAATCTTGTTTAAAATAAATTTGCCATCTTATGACAAGCTAATCATGATGTTGCCACAGTGTACCTTTGGCAACTTTACTGTTACACATTCTATGGTACCACTTCAGCTGCTAAAAAGCTGCTGGTCAGGGTCCATAGGTTAAAGGCATACCATTAAATTCTATTATAATAGATTGAAGATGTGTGAAAATATATTGCTGGATGGGCGGGAAAACCTCTAATAGAAAATATATCAATGGTGCAGAGCTAGTAATGAAATTACCTGAACTACTAAAAATTCTCAAGTAGAGCTGACCATGGCCAGGACTCCAGTCATTGAATTTGTTCATATTTACTGTCATGATACTGTTAACTATGCATAATTAGAAACAACCTCTATTTCAATAAGTTTCATATTTACCTTTCTGAGGTCATTAATTTGTTTTCAAGCTTTTTTGGTGCAAATTTTATCTGCCAATACATAGGTAGCATTTCAATTGGGTAACTGCATTTTCCATCATGTGTTAGGAGCATTTATTTGCTTTCTGCAGGATCAATTATTCATTGGACAATCTGTTTATTGTCCACAATTCTTTAGTGGTAGCCTTTACATAGAGTGTTTCTGGTAGGCATTGTGAACTATTTCTGTTTATTTTGATTCTTCCATTAACTACTGAACACATAATTAAAGAAAATCATTGAAAAGTAGGATAACTGTGAGAGATTTTCTAGCCCTGAATATTTCTTTATGTTTGAGGGTGAGAGGCACAGACATTCAGAAATGGGGTTTATTGTTTCACATATATATATATATACACACATATATATACACTTATTTATCTTACCATTCTCGCTACTAAAAAATAATGAAGATTTAAGCTGTTGTTCTATAATACATTTTCTTCAATTGAAGCTTTTAGGAAGCAAAATTATTTCTGGAAAATGAAACTCTTTGGAACAGAAAGTCTAATGACTGATTAGACCAGTGTAAGTTGGGTGAACCTTTTTTCTGAAATACACATAATCGGAACTGTCTTGTTGAACTGCCATGTAACTGCACTGGCAATTATATTGTTTGGAGTAATTGTGGTAAATGATGTGAGCATGGAATTACAGTAGGGTTCTGTTTGTCTGAGACAAATGTGTAGGCATTGGCCTTTGGTGTCATGCCAGGATTTGGCTATTGTAAAATACTGCTTTAACTTCGTAACACTTCAGTATCTTTTCTTTAAAGAAAGGCTCTGGCTCACAGTACACTGTTGGGCTGTGTTTTACTCAGCTGAGGTTTCCCTCTATACAGGCTTTTGCAGGTTCCTCAGGGCTGTTCACTTCCAGTATGATTGCTCATTTTAGCACAGCACCTGAGAGCTGCAGTTATGGACAAACATCTCACTGACACACACTGAGAACAATCACAGCTTCAGCTTTCAGTATTAAACAAAAAATGAGATAGCAGAAAGGAGAACACAAAACCACTCTCAGCAGAAAGTGCAATATTTGTATCGGCCATAGGGTACTGGAGGGAATCTTGCTGCAGGCATTCAACCACTTGGCCTTATAAACTGAATGAAAATGTGTCTCCTGTGCAACTGAAACTTTTATTTAGCTTTGCAGAACGGTGACATTGGCCAAGGTACTAGCAGAAAATAAGATTGTGTTGACATAAAAAGCAAATATGCTGTCATGAGTCAGTTTCCTTAATTTTCAATGTGATTACAGGGGCCCCAGATGATATTCAGTGCAGCCAAAGATCTTGGACAACTGTCAAAACTCAAGGTAATGGAGCCAGATGAAGCTGTGAATGGCTTGTGCTAACAAAAAAAAGGGAGGAAATATTAGTGACTGTGAGGCCAAACCTCATGCCTTGTTCTTATATAGTATCATAAGATTGAATATGGCAGTAACTACTCAGAGGTGAATAATTATTGTATATTTTCACCAAAACCAAGTTATGAATAAAAGACTCCATGCTAATATGGTAAGTGATCACTACATGGGCCGAGAAGCCATCGTTCCCGTATTGCGCAACGAGGCCTTACGGGCATTAAACATCACCAAAAAAAATATCTTTGCTTCTGTAACCAGTCCTGAAAAAGCCCTTAAGTTGCGTAATTTTCTTTCTGTGGACTATTTGTGTGCATTGAAACATAGTATGTATCTCTGCAGTAAAATCTTCAGCACTTCACTGCTGCAGTCCACTTGATGGACAGCAGAGATGTTGATACTGATGTCAGTTGTGTGTCAGTCAATTCTGCCATCAGGATTTCAGATTCGTACAGAAATGTGGCATTTGGGGCCTCTATGAATGCTTGTTCAGTTTGCTAGAGGAGTTAAAATATTACTTCTTTCACTGACTGCTTATTTAGACAGATTTAACAGGAGGGTAGTCACACTGTCTAACATGTTCTAATAGGAACCCCCCCCTGTTTTTTAAACATAGCGCATTAACAAACATCTGTTAAACTGTCAGGTTTGTTAATAGAATTAATTACTTCTATATCATCTAATATAATTATTTTAATTTAAATTTTAACCTTTCCCCCATCCCCAAAAACAGAGAAATAATACATCCTAGGAAAAGAGGTGCTCAGTATTAAACAGTGGATCTGGTTCTCTACAGTCTATGTTTTCAAGAAACAACACAATTGCTCTAGGTTATAACTCATTGTGAAAGGATTCTGAATTAATCCCTGTTAATCATAGTCCTTGGGGGGCATTTGGTGCATATTTGTTTGTTTTGCAGAGAACAGATATTCACAGTATTGTCTCTTTCAAAACCAACTGCAGTCTTCTCTTGCTTTGCAGGACCACGTGATCCGAGAGGAAGCCAAAAGCCTGACCCTGAGGCAGTGTGCAATAATGGACGTGGCACTAGTGACTATAAAGGTACAGCTTTGTGTGTTCTTCTGCTCTGTGCTGGAATGCCCAAGAGTGACTGATAGGTTTTTAGATAAAAGACCAGAGACTTTTATACAGGCTTCATGGATTTGCTTTCTGAAGTCAAAAAAAGTCATTAGGAATATTTAATATATAATTTAATTTGCTTATCAGTCTTTTTCACATTGGCCTGGATCATTACTTGGTGTAAATAACTTAAAAGCAATCAGTTTCTAGAATAACAAAATATTTTCCTGTCTGCTGGGAAGAGACAGCACATCAGGAAGGTAAGGAGGCAGCTACTGAAGTATAAAATTGAAGACATAAGTAAGAGGAAATACTTATGATCAAGTGTTTTGCAATAAAACAGTCTCCAAGGCAAGCAAAAAGTAACAGAGAAGGCTCCCAGTTGCCATTTTTTGTATTTGTAGTGGAATCGGCGTTTCTTTCAGAAATAAAAATAATTGGGAATTAATAATGTTGAGGAAACAATTTGAACAAATTGAAAAATGGAACAAATTGAAGTATGCTCCCAAAGTAAGCTCTGTGAAGTATGTGAATCCAATAATTTTCCTTTCAAACTATTTGTTCTAAACACATAAAAGCTGGGAAAAATGTAAGCTCTAATTCCAGTGCTTAAACTCTTACAGATGGATAGATGGTGTTGACCATTTTACTAAAAATTCCTAGATTTGAAGGAAAAAGACTAAATAGGAAAAATCCCTTTGTTAATTCAGCATCCTTATATCTGTGTGCTAAATTGTAATAGTTAATTCATAACATTCATTAACTGAGCTAAAGAATGCCTCCTGAGAAACTTCTTTTCAAATTGTAAGGCAATGACTATGTGCATTACAACTGCCTGCTGTACTTGCAAGCTGATATGGCAAAATCATTTCCAAAATACTTAACAAACAACCTTGATCATGCAGAAATTTGGCTGACACTGCCAGAAAGTGAAAAAAGGCAAGCCCTATGAGTTATCCCAAGAAAAAAAAGACTACTATGTTTATTTAGTAATGTAGTTCATATACTTAATGATCAAAATATAGAATTGTTTTGGCAATGCTTGGTAAAAGTACAGATTGTTTAAAAGCAAAAATCATGGCTGCCCAGACAAGAATTGGAGAATGATAAAAATAGCAATGTGATGTGTGTTCAGAAATTGGGTAGCTGATTATGGTAAGGAAGGGTTCTGCAGGGAGGAGTATCTCTACTTACAGTCTTTTTTGTTTTTTCTTTCATTTAATTCACTGAGAAACAATTACAATTTAATAGTGGACAGTGTTATTCATCTTTTGACAAATGTAAAGAAATATTTTTTAACCTTATATATATATATAGCATATCATCAGTCTTTGTATTATGTAAAAAGAACCATAGCAATTTATATAATTATTTAATATATTTCAGCTTCATTTTCAATTTACAGTTAGAAGAAGTGGCTTTCTGGCCTCAGTTGTCTCAGACTAAGGTCCCTGCTACCTCCTTGTGTCAGCCCAGAGTTCCAGCTCCCACTGTACACCCAGAGAGAAACTGCAGAGAGAAAACCAGCACCCAAAGGGGCTTGAGTGGCTTTGGGCTGAGAGTGCAGTGCCTCCAGCACTGATTCCCATACATTTGGCATCTGCCCCTTTCATTTGTCAGGGTGACTTTGAAACCTCTTGTGTCACCAGCAAACCTAGAAACCCCTCAGATAGGAGCAAGAGTAGCAGGGGAAATATTTAAGGTTTCCATCTCTAAGGAACAGGGTAATAACTGATCCAGCTGAACCTGTAAAACCTTGTTTATTCATTATTTTTCTATATTCAGCTGCATACAGTAATGATAGGATCACATTGCTGGTTTTGCATGCAAAATCTACCATTTATGGGAAAAACAAAAAAATAGTTAAAAACTCAGGAAAATAAGGGTCAAGTGTCTCTGTTGCTTTCTCTGGCTATTAGCTTTCATGGAGCTCTCAGCCATGTGCAGCTACTGTGGCAGATAACATTTTACAGGGAGACACAACTTCAAAAAAATCACAGTAATTGTCACAACAGCAGGAAATATTAGCAGATTTTTAACACTTGTTTATAAATTGATTATGATTCTTAGTGAAATCATGACTAAACCCTTGAGCAATTAAGATGAGAGATTTGTTTGGAACATATTGTTTGAAATAATTTGCTTGGAAAGATACACATTTTATATAATTATGTAATGAAGAGGAGATAGATTTATTCAGAACCTTTTAAACTGACACTAACTGTCCCAATAGTATTAAAACATATGTATAATATTTAATATATGTAACATATATAATATAATATAAAATGGTGCAGCCTGATAAATTTCAATCCCCTGTTTTTTCTCCTAAAGATACTTTTTCTCTTTAACAGTCAGTAGACAGCAGCAATACAGAAATGTAAATAATAACTGCCTTGAAATATTTATGTCTCATCTCCTGCAGAATCTTGAGAACTGGAAGGTGAAATATGTGCACTAAATGCAAAGGGCAGATGTGGACTGTAGGTCTGAGCTGTCCAGATAAGCCTGGGATACAGTATTCAGTGGAGATGTGTGTATGTGAACTGGAATGTATATATTACATCTGCTCCTTTGGCAACACTGCAAAAAGGCAGGGAGGGGAAATTCTGCTTACAGTCCCCAGCACTCCCTGTACAGAGTGGACCAATATTGTATCTCATCAAGTAGTCATTGTGTTCCTGAAAAACATTGTTTGTTTTAACTAATCAGCCATTAATGGGAGCTTTATTGCTCTTGAGACCTAGAACTGTAGTAGAGGTTGCATAATGCTTTGCGAGGTGTTTGAACAAAATGAAGGGATGTAGCACATTTCTTTTCATTGTAGCAAACATGTATTAATTCATCAAAGACTGTCCTGTAAAATCTTCAGGAAAAATTCTTCATTGTGGGAGGAAAAAGGGAAGAATCTGTCCACTAATTTTTCTAAACTCAGCTTTGGGATTGAAAACATAATATATTTATATATATTTTATATATATATATATATTTTACATAGTCAGCATGGCATCAATGTCATAAGCATATTTTTCCAAATCTAGCTGTGCCATTAGAATAGTGGTCCTCTTCTCACACTGCTACTCAAGCATCTCACAGTCTAGAGTAGTCTCTGAAGATTTTCACAAAATTCCCTTTTCTCTGAAAAGGATTATATTCTTTATCTGCGCTTGTAAACCATGCCTTCATTTGAGAGGGGTTTGTGATGTTTTGGGGCTTTTAGATAAAGAATTAAAACTGATTCCAGTCTCCAACACTAAAAGAATGCTTCAAATATTTGTTCCATTTTGGCAACTGAATACTTCAGATCATGAAAACCAAAATCAAAATTTTGTATATTGTTTTCTTCCCCTTATGCTTAACTTTTTTACTTTTGGAAAGAAGCTTTGTAATAGAGATTATGACAGTTATCTCAAATGCTATAATAAATCTACACTTGCCTGTTGCTACTTTGAAACATTCATTTAAGAATTTTACTTCAAGGCATATGTCAGTAACTGAGGCCTTTTTGTTCCTGTGATCAACCATATTTGTTATTCAATTTTAGCAATATTTCCATGCTGGAGGAAGTGGGCTGAAAAAGAATTTCCTGGAAAAGAGCCCAGACCTACAGTCCCTCAAATACGCTCTCAGCCTTTACACACAAACTACTGACGCCTTGATAAAGAAGTTTATAGCCACACAAACTTCTCAGAGTAAGTGATCTGTAAGGGACATAGAAATACATCCTATCATATTTTAAATGTTCTAAATTGTTGACTGCAGATTGCTTTCTCCACTCCCTGCGGTATTTTAGAGTTTATTGGCAGTAAATTGCCCAAGTGATGTATTTGATGTTATCCCTTCTCCAACACTGCTGCTGGAGCTCACCTGAGGGCAGTTCCTTTAGGGGCACAGGAGGAGCAGTCCCCGAGCTCTGGCTGCACACTGAGCACCAGGGTTATTTGTAGGAACACTGCACGTGTTTATATTCCAAGCTGAATGTTTCCTTCATTCTAGAAACTGCAAATTTTTACATAATAGTCATCTTTGCTAGATTTCTTTTGAATGTAATGAGCAATTTTAAAAATGACCAGCCTGCCACTTCATGTCTTTGGGAAATATAATTTGCTGATATAATGAATTATCCTGCTCCAGCTCATAGGAATCAGAAAGTTTTAATTGAAGAGTAAAGCTGGAAATCAATTGCTTTTACTTCTGAAGTAAAATGTTACAATATAAAAAGCATGAAACGTGAGTTTTGCAGTTTGCCCTAAGAGGTTTTAGAAGGAATGATTTCCTAAGCTGCTTCCATATTAAAACTGAGACCTCTGTTAATAACTCATATATTACAAATGAGAAAATAGTTATAGAACTCTAATATGTAGGGAGTAGAGTCTTTTCTCCCTCTCAGACACAAAAATTAACAATATGGATTCAGGCATAAAACTGTGACTTTTATGTGTATTTTGCTTTTCTTTAACACAGACTATTGTAGCTTCAGGAGAAAAAAATAGTTAAGTTGTAGCCATAAGTAATGATCTTTTATAAACCCTGAAGAACAAAATTGAAAATTCTGATTTTCATCAGGATTTCAGCCTGAGGTCTGTTGTCACTTCTATGCACAAGTTACCATGCCTATATTTGCACACCAGTATTGTTAGAAATGTAGCTACTGGGAATGAAACTTAAGTAAAAGTGACCCATAACTTTTCATTATCTTTTAATGCCTCATTTAAAAGAATTAAATCCTCATCTATTATGAGCTCCAGCCCCACAGCTGTAACTGTACCATTAGCTTTTAGTTAAAATGACCTTGTTTGCAAATCAGAAGATTTCTCTGGAATATAATTAGATTGATATTCAGCCTATTTTTTTCACATTGCCAATCCATAATCAATAGACAGTTGGATATAATTAAGGTCAAATCAATGGAAAAAAAATATTGTAAATGTAAAGAAGGCATATATTGTACAATAACTGACTGTAGATAGAATTGGATGCTCGTTTTTCCCTGTAATGACTGTAATCAGACAACAATCAGCCTTACTTTTACCCACAGGTTAAAATAATTTCTCACTCACCAAGAAAAAGCTGCAGTTTTTCTAAGAAACTGAAGAGAAAAAAATTGTCTGATTAGGGTGAAAAGGAGAGTTAATTTACACATAAATAGCCTAAGGTTGGACTTCATGATCTTGGAGGTCTCTTCCAACTTTAATGATTCTCTGATTCTGTGATAATGGCTCTGTAAAAGTGTGTTATGGTCCTTGATACTTCCTGTATTCCTGTTCATGCAGGACAATGTTCAGTAGGAATAACCAAATTATCCAACACCACGATCTGCACTATTTCTAAAGGAGAATGGTTGCTTGAACCAGAGTTTTGTTTCCCAGCCTTTGTGCCCACACATTCCTAAAGATCTTGGCAACAGAGAAATTTGCATGAGATAATAATAATAAAACCATTCCAAACTTTTAAAATGGTGGCTCAGGGAGTCATAGTTTTTCCTGTGGTGGTTTCACCACACTAAATAGTTGAAAGCATAATTCCTACTGCCTCTTTCAAATGCATCATGAGACTACATTGTTATAGACACATGCTTTAAAAGCAAAGTATCTCACAGCAGGAATAATGAAATTGACTGCTGTATTCTTACTCTGATGATTATTCTTTTCAAAGCAACACTACAGACTCACAAGACTTTTCAAAACAGACAAGTGCTGCCAGAAGTAAATGACAATGAGGAGCATAATCTGGCACTAACTTTTTCAGTAACTGCCTTTTTTTATTTTTCTCCATATAATGATTTGTCATCACTGGAGGTCTGTTCCAGCTGTAATTATTCTATGCTGATGAATATTGTAAATTTAATGCTTACTCAGTGTTATGAACACAAATCTGTAACCACACTATGAAAATTAAGGACTAAAGAAAAATGTTGTCTAACAAATAAAGATACAGACAGTACAGGTACCAGATTAGCTTTTTCAGAGACATAGCTTATTAAATGCCTTTCTGCCTGGCAGAGGAGGCAGGAGAGGTTTCTCTTCAACTGTTATCCCAGATCTGCCATACACTTTCAGTGTGTTTGTTTGCAGATTAAATCCTGTGGAAACTCTGATCATTATCGATTTTAACATTGGTCTCAATAGGATAGTAAGGGGGATATAATATATGACTGTCCCTCTGTGTAAACATTTCCAGAAAACAAGCCAAGCCTGCTAAGCACTTGTCCTGTTTTAATCCCAAACCACAAATGTAAAACACGCAGAGCAGCATTTTCTTTTGCAAATAAATAGATATAACTATATATATATATATATATATAACAGTATAACAATACATAGAATGATTTATAAACTAGTGACAAAATTTAGTTCCACCTATCTGAACTACACATTTGGTATTACCTAGAAAGGATTCAGCTGATTCTGCAGTGCATGTTGCAAGTGCATTCATCTGGATCAGTTTTCTTCTTCAGTCATACACAAGTGCTGTCACTGCCAAGAACCATTCCAAGGAGCAGGTCACTTCTGGGGTCTCTACAATGGACCTTGATACAGACCTAAAGGATTTTTCAAAACCTGAAGGCAGTTTAGTGAGGAGAACTGAATTCCAAAGCCTGAGTGAGCAGTATTTAACACACTAGGCGGTCACTGATACCTTCGTAAAGAGCACATAAAACACAGCCAGATGAGAATCGTGTACCATCGGTGCACCATTGCCAAGCAGATCACTTGAGGTTCAGACCTCAGACTGATTTTATTTATTCTGAACTTCTGTCAGCTGCAAATTGTCACTTTATTTGTCCACTAATAATAATAACAGTAAACATTAGCTCATGCTGTAAAAGTGGATGGGTTTTTTCCTCTAAATTCAGCTACAGGATAACATTCTTGCATGCATTCAGATTATTATATGGATTGCTCTCAAAATCTTATGTAACCAAACCACTCTTTGTGCACAGTCTATTTGAGACAAGCATGGATCACTTGTAAAATAAACTTGGAGGGGTTAGCACTGTAGGGCTGGAACCCCACAGCTGGTTCACAGCTGGAAGGCAGCCAGCAGCCAGCCCAGAATTTCAGGGAACTTTCCAGGGCTTCTGCAAAAGACAATGTATTTTGTAATTTTGTATTTTGTAACTGACAAGAATTTTCAGGTCAGACAGGACAAGATAATTTTAACCAAACTTGAGCTAAATTCAACTTTCAACCACATTTTCACAATCAAGACAGAACTCTAAAAGCCAAAGGACAAACCCTCACTATACTTCTGTTGGCCTAGTGCATGAACTTTCTTTATCTATGGTATGCTTGGCTTACCCTTACTCTGTGCTGAGACCTGTACTGGTGGAGCTTCTCTTAAGCCATTCCTGAAAAAAGAAGAGAAGCAGTCACCTTTTTAAGTTGTACCTTCACCTTTTAAACTGCTTAAAGTGTATCAAAACTAAATGGCTATTGTTTAGTTTTGCAAATGCCTTGAATTTTCAGTAATTTCATAAACTACAGCCAATCCTGTGAATATTTACATTTGTTTAGCATCAACACTAATAACATTTAAACAAATATTAACATTTAAACAAATATTATTTTAATTTTAGCAAGCTACATAAAAAGACAGAGACTCAAACAGAGTTTTCTGAATTAGCTCTCAATTATTACCTCTTATTTCTCCAAAGTAAACACCACTCTTGCATCTAAAATGGTTATTTATTGGACATAGAGAAATATTTTTTCTTACAAATTTACAGCAGCTCCAGTTCACAAATGTTGTTAGAGAATAATACATAATGGCAGGATTTTTTAGCTTGACTTACAATAGTTTGTATCAGTTAAGCAGAAAAATCAATACTCATAACACAGAGCTCATACTGCAAACCCTACCTGGGTGTTTACCAGGCTGCAGAAAAGGCTTTCCTTCAGCTGCTCTGATTCCAATTTCTTCATTCTAATGCCAGAAGACAATTGAAAGCTAAAAAGGGAAGATATATCTGAAAACAAGAAAATATAATACTCATTAGATAAATATGCTTATCTCTAACAGTAACTTCATCCTTTTCTTATGAAGTCACCAACACAGGGAAGAAAGTTACACAATCAGAAATGAAGACAAATTCTTTTCAACTGTACAGCCAAAATTCAATTATGTGTTCCTTTGCAACCTGGAATTACACAAAGCAAAGAAGAACCTCAATATTTCATAAATATACAGAATGACATTAAAAAATAATCTGATATTAACTATAGTTTAAGCAAGCAGATAGATGACATACTACAGAAAATAAAAATTGCTTAAATTGTTTAGCAGTTCTTATAGTTGAAAAAGAAAGACCTTTTCTTCTTTTGCTTGTCAAAACCATTGTATTATTAACTGTCATGTTTTGAAAGCTACACCTGTATTCTATCAGGAAATTTAAGTCCTACAGAGCATTTCCAGCTCTCTCATAACCCCTATTTCAGACAGAATTTAACTCAAGAAATAATCCCTGCTTCATCCACTGTAGTTTCAAATTGAGGTCAGAACTGAGTGTTACACAACCTTATTTCATAAAAAAAAAAAAAAAAACACCACAGACCTGCATTACAAGCTGAAGAAATCAGCACATTATTGCAAGCAACAAACAGGAAAGATAAGAACAAAGAAGAATCATGCTGAATTACATCTAATAAAAGTATTCCAGCATATGCTGATAGCAAAGGAAATGCACTCAGAATAGTGGCAGAAAAATAATTATTTTTAAAGTTCACATTAATAAAACCAAACTGCTGGTAAAGCAGAAGGTCTTTATCAAATACTCACTTAAGAGGCTGTCACATTAGAAAATTTCTGGTTGTTCCCTAAATGAAACAGTAAAGCACCTAAATTAGAAACAAGTTGTAAATCAGTTTCCTCTAAGTGTTCAAGAAAATAAACACAAGCTACAGGTAACCATGAGTTATATGATATCAATTTTAAACAATTATTTTGTACTAGAAGCAGAGCATTCAATACATACAGAAACCTCTTGAGAGGTCTGTGTGTTGTCTGGGTAAAACACTGGACAGAATACATGCATATATATATAAATATATATAAAAAAAAATATTCCTACACCCACAGAGGGATAGATGAGGCCACACCTCTCAGATCAAAGCTGGCTCATCCCCAGTTTCCTTAGCACATGGACAAAATCAGTTTTCTCTGCTGCCATGCTTTTCTCTAACACACAGAAGAGATCATCTAAGCTTGCTGCATCCATCTAACAATTGGGCTTTAACTTTCGCTTTTTGGATTAAAATAAAATGTTAAAAATGCACTCATGTTTTCCTCCAAATCAGTTTTAGGAGCCTGTGAAAAATAACTCCATGAGTCATCCTGATATTTAGTGGCTCAGCACCAGACAAATGTATGTATTTTATTGGCATCATCAATCAAAAGTGGACAGATGCTTGTCTGGATTAAAGTGCTGATTTCATAACGTGTGTAATTCTTAGAGCACTGGAAACTATGAAAGCTTGAATATTTGTTCAACTTTTTCATTCTTATGTCCCATTTAGAAAATAAGGTCAAAGCAGAAGTGCAGTATTTAAATGAGCAGGTTTCTGGTGAAAAAGCCCGTGAGGCAGATGGGAGAGGTTAGACAGGCACCAGTGCCAGGTCAGCTGCCCTGGCTCCCACTGCTCAGCCAGCTTTCAAAGTCTTGGGTAATAAAATCATGTCATACACGAGTAGTAGTTTGCAGGTAGTTGTTTTTTCTTCTGAACTGGCTTTCTAATCCTCAGAGAAGAAAAGATCTAGAAACCCTGAACCCTTAGAGGCAGAGTAAAAAAAAAAAAAAAAAAGAGAAATGTATATAGACATCCACAAATTTTGATACAGTCATACAAAGTTTCAGATTCTTGCTTATTATCTTTGGTGACTTTGGGGCAAAAATACTGCAAGTCACCACATTCTTAAATTTTATGCTAACTCATTTTCTGTGAACACCATTTATTTCTGCTGGGCTCTTTTCATGCAAACCTAGAAGTTAGTTTCCAAAGTCCTCCTCCTGTGAGAACTTTTTGCTGCTAAAAGATCAAGCGAGACAAAGGAATCTTTCCACAGAAATGTACTTTTGTGCACGATCGCAGACTGATTCAGTAGGAATCTCTTGTATTTAGCAGGAATATTATAGTAGAAAATAAAGGGAGTTACCATTTTGTTTCTACAAAGCATACATGAGTCATTTTTCCATTTGCATATTCTGTTATTTACTCAGAGTGCACAAGTTCACCTTTTCCAAAGATATCAACTAAGGAATAGAAGGCAGTGGAATTTCTCTGTGTACATATCGTGATTATGACTATCATGACTAAGAAATATTTGACTTGGTCCTTGGTCCAAAATGTCTGTCTTCTGTCAAAATCATTAGAGTTGTAACAACTCTCACACTGATGCCATTCCAGGTGCTAAATAAGGAGGAATAAAAGCTCCCTGAGGAGCAAGTGTCTTTGGCCAGAGATATTTTTTTTCTTCTTTACAGTTTATTTGCTGCAAAAGAATGACTGCACTTTAAATGCACATGGTCACCTTAAGACCCACCAGTAAGAGGATGCTGTATTTTGAATGATATAAATATACTAGCAAATAAAACATAAAGCAGATATTTGTGAGCAAGGAGTAATAATTAAACATCCATAAGGTTTTCAAACATGAGGCAGAATCATTTATAGGTTTGTTAGCCTTCAAATGAGTTATATTACAGTACTAAAGGAAGAAAAGTGCAGTCATCCTCTGCAGTGCATGGAGAGATTTATTGTCAGCTAAATTGGCTTATTAAATGTAGTAGGATAAATGGACCTTTCTATAGTGCAGTGAGAATCACTAATTCCTGCTGTGACTGTATAAGAAGTGATAGTGAAAAGAAAACAAAACAGCAGAAATAGACAGATCAGAGACTTTAAAATGAAGTACCATAGTTCTTGAATGTCAACAGGAGATGCTATAAGCAAATACTAAATGTCCTGGAATTGTATCTCTAGTTTGTTCAGCAGGTCAGAAAGAGAAAGATGGATGGGGTGATTACTGAAAGAAACCAAGTTTATATTCTAGATTCCACTAGAAATTGTCTTTGAGGGCTGAGATGTTCTGCAAACGAGTTTTTCTCAGCAATACTGAATGTAGAGTCATTTTAATGTCAACTGCTTTTAGTATAAAACTGGGTGATGCTTTGCACAGATTTCTTTATAACCATATCAAGCAGTACTGTACATACAAGACTATTCACACTACAACATATCTGCAGTACTGCTCGGAGCACTCGTCTAAATTATGGGCTAAAAGGAAAGAGATAATGATTAAGAGACCTTTGCAATAACATATTTTGCAAAAGTTAATAAAAAGATTGGAAAAACAGAACAAGTCTAATCTTACAGATCAATAGATTTTGGTCTTGATGAAATCAATCTGCCATCCCTTCAACTTTCTTTCATTTTTAAGCCCCTCTGTCTGTGCTAGTGCAGAACTCCAGTAATGTCCTGAGACAAAACCTTCAGCAAAGGATTCATCAATAGTGATATAGAAGTAAAACACGCATTTAAATACACATTTAGCAGTAAGAATTTTGAGAGGTACATGAAAAGCATGATAAACCCACCAACTTAGGCATTTCAAGATGCAAACACACCTAATGACAACCAAAATGGAAACTTCCAGAGGAGCAGGATTTCTTATTTCACTGAGGCGTGTTCCATAGGTATATGCAATTACCCAGTTATTTTGTGGCAAAATCATTCATGAATCAGTAACTGATTCCCACTTAAATGTGAAACACGTCAGAAATGGTTTCAGTGTTTCTGCTGGAAAATACCACTCACCCTTCACTGTCTATTTCTCTTGATGCATGGAGAAGCCAGGTGTGCTAACCAATAATTCTTGTTTCAGGTCAAACTGCTAATAATTCAGTGGGTGAGATATCTGTACAGGTGGATGTCTCTACCCATCCTGGAACTGGTGAGCATAAAGTCACTGTGAAAGGTAAGTTCCAAAACAGCCAGCTTTAAAAAGAAAGCAACAAAAAAGATCAAACCTCCCAGCACTACATCCTAAGTCAAACATACCAATATTAAAATAAAAAATGGTAAGTTTATTGTACTTGAGAAGCTATGAGTACACTTCAGGTGATTAGAGGTACACTTTTTCCTTGCTCAGCATCAACAGAAGTTCAGATTATGGAGGCAAGTACTGTCTATGCTTCTCTGTGTAGATAATTTAAAGTTATTATACTAAATTAGAGAGTTATAAATTAAAATATATAAAATTTTACTTCTCAATTGCTTGTACATAATTCAGCTTCCAGAAAACTACAGCAAAGCTGAGTGGTGAATGAATGCACTAAGCCTTAAGAAGCTGCATTTTTAACAAAATCTGAATTTCAGAAACACAGGAAGGTTCAGATTAGTATAAGCTGGGTTTTTTTAATTGCAGGGAAGGTAAAAGGCAAAAAGAAGCTGTAAATGTAAAGGATTTGTAAAATACATGTTTATAGTTGATACTTTTGAACCTCAAAGTAGTCAGACATCTTTACTTGGCAGGGAAGGGGCAAGGCTCCTCCTAGGCTTACCAGGTATTGATATCCTATAGAGAAGCTCTCAGGTCACCTTTTGCTGCCTATACAGCCATACAGGGTAATTAATTGGAACTCTTCCAGTGGAATTTTATTTAACTTCATTTCTTTTATCTCTTTATAGTTGTAGCAATTAATAACCTAAACTGGCAAACAACAGCTATGTTCCGGCCCTTCGTGGAAGTTTGTATATTGGGTCCTAAATTAAGTGACAAGAAAAGAAAACATGGAACAAAGACAAAGAGCAACACCTGGTCACCAAAGTACAATGAAACTTTCCAATTGTAAGTCTTTTATGTCTGAGAATTGCATATTTTCTTAAAATTTTCCTAAAATATTTTTGCCTTTAAACCATTAATAACAAAACAAAAAAAAAGCCATCCTAACATAGATATAATAGACACCATTTCAAAATTATTTACAAACTTGTATCTTTGTTGTATATGAAGATGAATGGCAGTCACCAAACTTTCAGACCTACAAAACCTGGTTAAAATGTACAATTTATTTTCCTGCAGAGGAATAACTATGCCTGTCCCTGGGAATTGATTGGCCTAGGTATTTGTTCAGACAGAAGCATTAGTTATTTTCTCTAGATATCTGGCCTTCATGCCTGTAGACACATCTGAATGTGTATTGTTTATCTAAGGCTGTTACCATTTAATTCTTAAATCGGTAAGAACTTTCCACCTTACCTGGAACTTTAAATTTAGTATTTCTCTGCCCTTTTCTCAGACCAATTTATTTTCCTCCCCTTACCCTCCAAGCCTGAGTGGAAATGAGTTCAGTGTCTGTGTCTCACCACAAAGCTCCTTTGGATGCCTGCTGCCAGGGATTTTCTGTATATTTTGAAGCCGATTTAAAGTCTTGGTGCTGACAGCTGGGGAACCAGCTGAATTTTATGCACTTTCCAGGGAGAGGTAACTGCCTCTTCCAACTATTGAGGGAATTCTGTTCAGGCTGCTGAGAGTAGAGGCTCTATCACTGACACATCTGAAGGGTTACCTGTGCAGAACATTTAAAACTAGATATTCTGTTGTAACAAAATGGAGCTACAACACTTAAACTATCACTCTCACTTCAATTTGTCCAAGACTTCTAGAGTGAATTAATTCCTTGGGGGACTTAAACCAAAGTCCTTGTTCTAAATTCGTATTGTTAATCCACACAGCCTGCTGAGTAACGAAGATAAGCCGGGAGCCTACGAGCTTCACCTGTCAGTGAAGGATTATTGCTTTGCGCGGGAAGATCGCATCATCGGCATGACGGTCATCCAGCTGCAGGGCATCGCCGACAGGGGCAGCTGCGCCTCCTGGTACCCCCTGCTCAGGAGCATCTCCGTGGATGAGACCGGGCTAACAATCCTTAGAATTCTTTCTCAGAGGAACAATGATGAAGTTGCTAAAGAATTTGTAAGACTTAAAACAGAAACAAGATCTGCTGAAGAAACGGCCTAAAATACCCAAGTAATGCAAGATTGTCACCGCCAAGAACATAAACACAACGCTGTTGTCTGACTAGTGCATGCATGTGCAAATCTGTGGGAATGTTTAACTATGTTTTCAGTGTTTGCCAGTACTTACGTACTATACTTGCAAGGTATGTCAAGGAGCTGTATATCTTTTATACATATTTTGGTCTTTGGTAAAGTAATTGTTCCAATGAAGTGCCAAAACTAAGATTAAGAGTAAATGTTTCATCATCTCTTTTTAAATGTTGATTTCACCTCATCACAGTTTCATTCTTTTTTAACATTTATTAATAAATAAGTAGCTTTTTTAATTGATAATAGGTTACATCTGTTAAACTGTGTTGCTTATTCTAAATTAAGTTTCATCCCTTACTCTTATTTTAAAAATGAGGTGTACCTAGTTTTTTCTTCAAACTCTCATGTTATGCAAGCCTCATTTTAGGTCTCTTACTGATGACTTTTTCTATCATTACTACAGATGCAGTTACTTATAGGAAGTGTTTGTAATTTTATAATTACCAATATAAAGTAATGATTTTTGCATAAAAACTGAAAAAGGATGGAAATATTTTATGCTATTCTCTTTTTCCAACCTTTCATAAATATCACTGTGAAGAAATGCTGTTAAAGCAGGTTCTCAAGAAGCTGTGCTTATCAGAGTTTGTTACTGATGTTTGATATCTTGAGATAACTTTGTTCTTCAAAACTGCCACGGTAATATCATATTTGTATTAAAAGAGTAAGTCAGTATCTGTAGAAACAGGTTGCTGTACAGTACAGTATATGTGCTTTTAAAAAGTGATTTTTTTTAAATGATATGGTACTGTACAAGGAGTAGTAGTTTGGAATATGTCATGCCGGTTTGTGGTTTGTTTCTAGAAATTGTTTATGAGAAGAAAGATGCTGTTAGCATTTTCACTCAGAGTTATTAACGTTGCTTTACATACTTAGCTGTGACATCAGTTAAGTGCTTTATTTCTTTAATTTTTTTTTAGAAAAGTTCAACAGTTTGTACTTATGCAACATTACTATGTATTGCACTAAAGCAAACTCTGTGTCCTGTAAATATATTTAGTGAGGAATTGTAAAATAAAGTATGCAGAAACTGCTTTCTAGTTTTGTCATTTGATATTTATGTAACTATTGGTTTTATGTGCATGTGAAGCCCATGGAGTGGGCTTACTATATAGCTTTATAATATATTAAAGTATGATTTGCACTGTCTGGAATCTGGCTGTTTCGTAAGTGTAAAGTTTGATGTGTCAGTGTCCTAAAAAATACAATTAATTAGGTCAGTGTATATATATACACACACATGAAAAAATGTTGTGTAATGCTACACATTTGTCATTGGTTTTGGTCACAAGCCTTCTAAAAACATAACACATGACTCCGCACAGGTCTACAAGATACTTTCCAGGAGATATTTGTTAGATATTTAGATGAGATTTTTCTCAAACTTCTTCCTTGAATACTAAAAATTAGATTTGTCCTAGGTATATTTAGACATTTAGAGAAGTTATGCATAGTCCTTAGAGAGTTAAGAACACTCCCCTAAGATCATAAATTCCAAATTGTATTTCTGTGAGGTAGCCCAAAGTTTCAACAGACAGACTCTGTTTACAGTTAAACAAGATTTGATGTAAGAAAACATCAGCAGACTCAGTTTCAAATAAAAAAGAAGAATAATCAAGAGATGAGGTGGTTCCTGGTACAGAACATTGTTGTGGACAAAATGCAAAAAGAATTCCACAATATATCATTCGTGGCTCGGTGAATTAAACCAGAAAGGCTGGAGTAAACAGCTTCTGGTCTTTTCACCCAGAGCACTTTCATCATATTTTTCTGTGGCTGTTTATTCTACTGTAAAATGGCACACATTTTAGTGCATAACGTAATCACCACCCACTTAACTGTTTATCCCCGAGATTCAGGATAAAGGAATAACAATGGAATCAGTCAAGGCAGTCAATTACTGCACACAGTGGCCTCCCTCAGCTGCACCCAGCAGAAACAATCAGACAAGCTGGTAAAATCATCCCTAATAATCCACCACTTTATACAGTGCACTTCAAGGTTTCACTGTTTCTAACAGAGAAATATTTACTTTATATAAAATTTGTCATGTGGAAGATAAGAGGAAAACACATTAACTCAGCAGCACAGGACTGTTTTAAATGTTATGAATCAAAATACAGGTAAATGCAATGGTGTAGCACAAGTAGTTGGACCTCACATATTTCATGTCAATTATTGACATGGAAGAGTTTTCAGAGCTGTTTTAAAAGCCATTATAATCTCTGTTAGGGAGGTAAATATCCCATTTAAAAAAATTCAACTTGTGAGAATTTTCTTTATTCAGCTGAGCTAATGTAAGCAAACTGACAGCTGTTCCTGCAGTTTCACTTCTCAGTGACAACTGATGTAGTCAAAGCTCTAAATGGAATTCCATTTGTATTGGTTGGTTAAGATAGCAAATATACACATATGCACTCGGGGAAATAAAGGAGAAAAAAAAGACCTTGGAGAACAGCAAAATTAATTTGAGAACAAATTTTCCATTCTCCAAGGAACAGTTACTACATTGAAACCATTTGATGTGCATCTGAAAAGAGCAAATACATCAGAGAAGCCTGTCATATGACAGCTCTTCAAGTCAACCTGTATACTCAGAACTGACAGTATCACATAAAACTGTTCAATAAAGACTGAGAAAGATTTTTGCCCTTTTTATTTTGTTTTCTAGGATGAAAATGTGAAAGCCAAATATAGAAACTGAATTAAATTTTCCTTAAAGTATTTTTCAGCTAATATCTGACAAAAGAAGGAAATTAATAATGTGTGAATTAAAGACCTATGAGAAACTAAAACTAGCAGCCATTCTAAACCTCAAACACCTTTCCTAATTTTTTATTTTTTTTCCTAATGCCACATTGAGGTGACACTTGAATTAAGAACAGAGTGCTGGAACTGAACTCAGGTAACTGCAAAAATACCAAAGGAAACATCTGTGAGATGGAACTGCACGTGCATAGCTCTTCATACCTTTTAAGCCTTCTGGAAACTTAAATTTGCATCAAATAATCACTTCATGGGTGTTGAGCCATCACCAGGAAAGGAGGCTCAACCAGTCCCAGCAGCAAAATACAAAATATTATTTTTAATTGTTTTGTCTGTACCCTGGAAGAATCCAGAGACTTCCCATAAAGAATTCCTGGCATATGCAAATGCCACCATTTGGCTAAGGTAGACATGACTGGTGATTTACTTGAGAAGCTTACAAAAAATGATAATAAACCAATAATTTCCATTGCTTTTCCTCAATTTGTTTTACTGCTTTTCATTGATGTTCTCATGCTAGTGACTATAGAAATCAAATTAGTAGACAAATACTGAAAACAGAATAATAATTTACCATTACTGTATTAGTCTGAATTAAATACACATTTCTCACAAATCCCTTGAAATCTAAAGACCTGAACAAATAAGGGGAGAATATTAAGTTATTGTATTAAATTAAATTCAGCCAGCAGACAAAAAATTAACATAAATGGATTCAGTGTTATTTGTAAAATACAGCTGGGCAAGCATTGGAAAGCATTCTGTTGTTTACACATGCTTATTTTGATGGTATTTTCACATCACTTTGCTTTTTGGCACTAGATTTATGTGATTGACTTGTATTATGAAAAATTCATAGAAATGAATCTTCAGGAGACAAGTCCTGAATTTTTTTAGTAATTATAATCAAGATGTGATACAAAGACTAGACTGAGATTAATAAGCAGAACTGGGTTATTCTAAAAATGTGTCACTAAGTATTGGCTGAAAAGAAGAAAAATTACAGTTTGTATCTGGAAAATACCTGTTTCTCTTGGGTGGTCTATGCTGAATGAATGCACACACACACTACAGAGTATAAATGTACAATTTAGAGTACAAATGCATTTCTAAATGATGAATGCATAAAATCTAATTTGAAGATAAGCCCCTTAGGGAACAAAATAAAGATAAGCCAAATAGCAAGTGAACAGAAGTATCTTTTCAAAACAGATTCTGTAGCTGACAGCTAACCTAAACAAACCTTCTAAATGGCTAATCCTGTGACCATTTCATTGTAAGAATTCAGTTTCATATTTCAAAGACTCCAGCAATTACAGCTGAAAGCCTTCACTATCAATTTAGCAAAATGAATTATTCACTGCAGAATATGAAATAGCAAGTGGGCATACTGTAAACTTTGTAGTGAAAGCCATTAAAGCACCATGGATTAATTTTCAACTAAATAAATACAAGATAATCAGAAAAGTTAAACCAAGGAAGTAAAGTCTGCTCTTTAATATTTTCCTGTTATTTCTACACACTACAGTACAGTCCCAGGCTCCAGCCTGCACTGCCTTGGGGTCTCACATAAGTTCACACCCATTTCTCAAGGTGTTTTTTGAGCAGTTGTAGGAGTTCCAGTCAAAGAGGACAAACCAGACAGCTCGGGCCACAGAACAGCTTCCTGAGCTGTTCCCAACTCTGGTCTGTAAAACTGGACACACACTCTTGTTTGATAAAATACACAAAGGTAAAAACAAACCTTCCCTGGGGTAAGCACAAGTGGAGTTGTAACGAACCAGACTCAGGCAAAAATCAGAGATCTCCATCTTCACTGGCCCAAGGTACACAAGAGCTGCTGACAACGACTGAGGCAGCTCTAGCTTGTATTCCATTCAGATCTAAGAGTGCCTACATGTTTTGTTCAATCATGTTTACCCATTTGAGCAAGAGGATTTTTCTTGCCAGTGACAGCACTGACTGCAATGCGAGTTAAGCCTCTGGGCCTGAGGTCATGACAGTGAGAAAGCAAATGTCAATTACTGACTAACAGAAACAAAAACTGAAAAGGAATTGCAAAAAAAACACAGTGTACAGTAGAACACTAATGGAAAACTAGAGCAGAGTGAATCCATTCCTCTCCTCTAGATAACACTCCTTGTA